TTATCCTGCTTCTTTGTGTGGACTGTGATGGTCTGTTGTTTCCGAGTCATCATGGCATTGTTGTATTTAGATCTCTGTTAACTGTTTGTGAAGAACAGCCAAGGGTGATTCAGGCTCTTCTTGGTGGTTTTTATCGTTGGTGGAGAAGGAGATAGTGGCTATTGCTCAGTAAGTGAAGTTGCAGGACGTGTGGGTATAGTTGTGTCTTATGGGGACTGTTGTTGTCTCACACTCAGTTAGACACAAATTACAATTGAATAATCATCAAAAAACTAAAAGCCCATAAATGAAAAACACACCATTTAATCACACAGGAACAGTAACCAAAAGAAGAGAAAAGGGGAAAAAAAAGAAGAAAAAACCAGAAAACCTGCAATATCTTGGGATCGGGCACTTAGGAAAAAAAAAAAAAGTTGAGAAGGAGAATAATCAATGAAAAAAAATTGGAAATATGGAAAAAGAAAAACGACGAATGGGGTTAACCACGAGAAAAAAGAGGGGCAAAAAAAAACCTTAAATTAAAAAAAAAAAAAAATTCAACCAGGCACTGGGAAAAAACAAAATGCTGAAAGCTAGGACCTGGTTGGGGAAGATTAAGAATAATAGTAAAAAGGACAAAGGCATCAATAATATTAGTTGTTTTAAAATAGACAAATACAAGCAAACTAATCACCAGAAAGAAGAAAGCGAAAAATAAAAAAGGAGAAAAAAAAAATCGGTGGAAGACAGGGCAGGGCACCCCAGGCTCCATGTGAGCACACAGACTTTGATGGAGTTCCTGTGGTCCCAGAAGGTAGTTGGGAGTATGGGATAGCTACACCTCCGTTCACCAAGCGGGTGTGGGGTATAAGAGTAATAAGAGGAATGTCGTACCTTTTTAGTGTTGCAGGTCCCGAATGTCCTTGGGGTTGCTGGAAAGCAGAACATGTTCTTAAGCCCCAGGAATGTGTGAGAGCACTGTCTCTTTAAATGTTCAAAATAGTCGAGCTGCTTTTCAAACCTTCAAAATGGCAGCGCTGTCCGGATTGGCAAAAGTCCACAGCTCAGCCCACCTTTCTCTTCACCTTCTTCGTTTGTTCCCCAGCCCCCGTACACAGTCCTCTGTGCAGTTCCTGGCTAGCAGGGTGATTTTTAGGTTAATTCTTAGGTCCTACCACCACTCGGGAATCTCTAAGCTGTCTGTGCCGTCAGGATCACTGCCAGACTGCAGCTCCGTCTGTCTCCTTTTTTTGGTATTTTCACGCAAATTCTTCTGCTAGTTGGGGTTTAGTCCGCTTCTATATCCTTCCCTTCAAGGCTCAGGGGTCCAGGGTTATCTTCAGTGTCTGTGTTTATTGGTTTTCCTTTTCTTTGTTGTGAAGAGGGTCTTTCTGCCTAGTCCCCCATCTTGCCATATCGCCGGGCTTGCACTTTTTAAGTAGGATGAGCAAAGGCCTCACTTAGAAGGTGATACTTGAATAAAGGCCTGAATGAAAGAGGTGAGGGAGTAACCAGGTAGAGGGGAGAGTAGGTGCAAAGGCCCTAAGGGAGGATGTGCCTGCCTGGAGGAGGAGTAACCATGGGGGCCAGCTAAGCTAGAACAGAAGGAGTGATGAGAGGGAGAGAGGTAGGAGGAGGTGTCAGACAGGTTGGAGAAAGGAGAGATTCAAATCAGGTGCCCTCCCCCCCCCCAGGGCCCCAGTCAAGACTTCGGCTACTATATTGAGTAAAATAGGCTGACTTTGGAGATTTGTTTTGTTTTGTTTTGTTATTTTTATTGAGATCTATCTTTCTGTTTCAAAGCATATAGTTCTGTGGTTTTCAGTATATTCACAGAGTTGCACCATTTTGAAGAGGAATCCATACCCATTAGCAGTTACTCCCCGTTTCCCCTCCTCTCAGCCCTGTCTGGCCAGTTGCTCTTGAATCAGTTGTGACTCATGGTGACCTCATGTGTCAGAGTAGGGCTGTGCTCCATAGGGTTTTCAACAGTTCATTTTTCAGAAGTGATTTGCCCAGCCTTTCTTTTCTTCCAAGGCGCTTTGGGTGGACTCGAACTTTCAGTCTTGGTTAGTAGCCAAGGGCATTAAACCATTTGCACCATGTAAGGACTCCCTCTCAGCCCTAATCAACCACTAACCTATTTTCTATCTCCATGGATTTGCATATTCAGAATACCTCATATAAACGGAATTATATAGTGTGTGGTCTTCTGTGTCTGGTAATCACTTAGCATGGTGTTTTCAGGGTGATACATGTGTGGTATAGCATGTATCAGTGTTCCATGCCTTTTTGTGAATAATATGCCATTGTTTGGACACAGTTTGAGAGTTTTGAGTCTTGGCTAACAAGAAAGGCCAGGACATCCATATGCTTCAGTGAAGAAAGCCACTGTGTGTGGACATTCTGGGGACTTTTTAGCAGTGGATTTTGAGTCCCCACCTGACCCTTGGCTGTGGAGCCTGGAAGATTTCTGTGCCTTCCCCCAGCATCATCTAGCTTAGTAATGTGTGACCCAGAAAAGAATCCAGCTCTACTTTGTACTTCTGGTTCTCTGGACTGGGTTAACAGATTCTCTGGAAGAGTGGGCCGAAGATCCAGATGTTAGTTCTGTAAGAAGAAGTGTAGCTGCATTTTACATGATAAAACTGAGTTTTACGTGCCCCATGTGACCTAAGCCACCTTTCTCATGCTCCCCGCAGCCCTGCATGGGTGTATCATGATCCCTGTTTTATAAATGGAAAAACAGAGGCTGATATGCACCAGCACTTAGGGTTTTAATTTTCAAGTTTTGCCATCTCCTCGTAGGAGAAGAAAATGAGGCAGCTGAGACCTTGAAAGTAAACATGACCATGGTCACCCCTGAACAGGGCTCCAGTGAGAACCTTCTGAGTTCACATCATTCTCCCCTGAGGTCAGAAAGGCTGACGCCTAGAAGGTTTATTTTCCCAACGGAAACCTTGAGCACAGGAGACCTGGGAGCACAGGGCCAAAATGGGGGCAGGAGCTTTTGTGGCCCTGCCAGCGACCGAGGTTTTCCAGATTGCTCATGACCTCATAGCCTCGTGATCCTGTGGGATACCTGCTGTTAACCTCTCCTGCTGACACTTGGTGCTGCCGTCGTCCTCTGGGGAGGGGTGAGCTTCCACATGTTGGGCCGTGCAGATCCCCGCCTCCCCGCTCTTTTGCCTCTGTCATAGGAAAAGCAGCCTGGCTCATACTGCGCAGGGTCCGTCCTTTCTCCTGGACAGGGCAGGAGTCGACGCATTTAAGGTGCTGCGGTCTTAAGCAGCCACCCCAAGTTAAGTCCATTGAGTTTGTCTGTGAAAACCTGGAAACATCACAGGACATGACTCAAGCCTGACTTTGTGGGGAAGTGAGCTGCCTAGGGGGATCCCTTGGCTATTAATGTTTTTCCTTCATTCTTCTTCCTCTTCTTTTTTAAGTTGTTCCCTTCCTCAAGCATAAAATTGTATATGATTCTAGGAGGAACTTTAAAGAGTGGCATTAGTCCTCCACCCCTCATTTTGCAGATGAGGGGCTGAAGCATGGAGAGAGGAGGTCCTGTGCCCCAGGTCTTATTCATTCGTGCTGTCAGCATTTATTCAGCACCTGCTGTGTGCCAGGGCTTGTTCCAGGCAGCACAGATGAAGTCATGTCCAAAACAGAGTTCCTGCCAAAGTGCAGGAGACAGATAATAAAGTATATTTCATAAATATACTAAATAGCTATAATACTACAATGTAAGTGGTAAGTGCTAGGAAGAAAAATAAGCCAGGGTAACGGGATAGGACATGATGGTGGGCTGTTTTGGGCAGGACGTAAGGGGCAGGCCTCTCTGAAGGATGAGGCAAATGACCAGGCCACTTGTCTGGGTGAGAAGAGAGTTTTGGGCAAAGAAACTGAAGGGGCAAAGGCCCAGAGGTGGAATTGATTGTGTTTGGTGCTGGTGAGGATCAGCAAGAACGCCCACCAGTATGCTGTTGAGCAAGTCGGTGGGCTTCCGGTCATTTGTTTATCCAGTTCTTCCTCTGAGTGAGTGTTGAGTGAGCACCTGCTCTGTGTCAGGCACAGTTGTCACCCACTGCATCCCCCATGGGGCGGGGCCTGGATGCACCGTGGCTGGAGCATGGCTGTTCCTGCAGTTGTGACGGTGGTTGTGACACTCATGCAGGGACAGATGCAGATGTTGGCATTCTGCTTCCAGGTGGCCCTGTCTACATTTGCTGTCTATGTGACCGTTGGCAAGAACAACATCCTGGACGCCCAGAAAGCTTTCGTGTCCTTGGCCTTGTTCAACATCCTGCGGTTTCCCCTGAACATTCTCCCCATGGTCATCAGCAGCGTTGTGCAGGTACAGGGGGAGGCAGGGGGGCTTCTGAGGGCAGTCTCCGGGGTTGGGGAAACCAACCAAAGGCATTGAAGTGCCCCTCAATACAGCTCCCTCTAATTGTATATCCCACTGTGCCTGGGGCCTTGGCAAGGACTAGACTGGTGTCTTTCCTGCCTTATTTTTTTTTTTAAGTTTTAAACTTTTTATTATCTAAGTCATATACCTCCAGTATAGATAAAAGTGAAAATACAGATAAGCATAAGGAAGAAAGGTAGAATTGTTCATAATCCTCCTACTTTCTGTTAATGTTTTGATGTATGACATTCCTGATATTTTCCAGTTTTTCACAAAATACATTTTTTTATTGTAACAAAATACTTGCCAGTTCAGCACTTTTTAGACATACAGCTCAGTGACATTGTGATTAAATTTATGTTGTACAACCATCACCACTATCCATTTCTAGTTTGTTCCGCCACCATTAGCAAAAGCTCAGTGTCCCATGTTCCTTTCCATGGACTCTCTCCTACTCCTAGTAACTGCTAATAAACTTTGTTTTCTAATAAACTTTGGTCTCTATACATTTGCCTGTTTAGATACTTCAAATAATTAGGCTTCATGCTTTTTTTTTTTTTTTTATCAAAGTAAGAAATACTTTGACAGGGAGCCTCATGATTTTGGATATGAAACAAAAGATTACTGCAACAAGGTTTTCCCTTGCTCTGTGGAATTTATTCTGAAACATTATGTTCTATTCTGTTCTCCCTGCTTTGCCCTGTCCTGTGTATCCTGTCCTATACTAACCTCTTAACTAACTCACTGCCCTTGAGTCTATTCCAATGCATAGAAACCTCTGTTGGATTCCCAAGGCTATATATTTTTATGGAAGTAGATCACCTCCTCTTCATGGAGCAGCTGGTGGATTTGAACCACGGACCTTCTGGTTAGCAGCCAAATGCCTTATCCATCATGCCTCCAAAGTCCTTGTCCTGTACTACACTATCCGGTTTTTTTTTTTTTTTTTAAAATGCACCTCTTGACCCAGTAAATTGGTTTTACCACCTACTAATAGGTCTTGACCCACCATTTGAAAAACCCTGCCTATGAAGTCACTGAGGAACTCTGGTGATATAGTAGTTAAAGCATTTATCTGCTGACCAAAAGGTCAGCTGTTTGAACCCAACAGCCACTGTACAGGAGAAAGATGAGGCAATCTGGTTCCATAAAGATTTATAGTCTTAGAAACCCTGTGGTGTAATTCTCTCCTGTCTTACAGAGTTGCTGTGAGTCAGAATCAACTCAATGGCAGTGGGTTTGTTTTGGTTTTTTTGGATGGAGTCCCTAGGTGGCACTAATGGTTACGTGCTTGAGAAGTGGTCAGGGGATTGGCAGGACAGACCCACACAAAGGTACCTGGGATTAAAGGCCTGGCGTTCTGTTCCCCAAAGGCCTTAAAAACTCTGGGAGGACAGTTCTACTCTGGCGCACAAGGGAATCGCCATGAGTTGTAATTGACTTGATGACCCCTGGTAAGTTGCGCCCCCCCAGGGGGGCGGTGAGGAGGAATCGTAGATCTTCCTACCAAAAAACCAAATTCATTTCGGTTGAGTTGATTCTGAGTCATAGTGACCCAATAGAGAGGAGTAGAACTGCCCTTCAGGGTTTCTAAGTCTGTAAATCTTTATGGGAACGGGCTGCCACATCCTTGTCCCACGGAGCAGCTGGTAGGTTGGAACCGCGGACCTTTTGGTTAGCAGCCAAGCACTTAACCACTGTGCTACCAGGACTCCTTGATAGACTTCCCAGAATCCTTAAAATGCGTGCTGCTGACTCTTCTAAAGAGAAGAAATTGTCAGGTTTGTGACCCTTTACACTTTTTGAAATACCTCCTACCACTCCTCTGCCCACTAGTATTTTTCACATTCTTTAGCATCGTAGACATTCATGTTAGAAAACTCCAATTTCAGCCACATGGACAAGTCAACCTTAAGATGATTATTCTGATTGTAGGCTTTATTAAAAGCAAAAAAAATTATTATGAGAAATTCAATGTACAGAAAAATAGAGTAGTGTAAGGAGCCCCTGTATACACATTACGGATTCAGCATGTTCAGCATTTTGCCACACTTGCTTCCTCTGACCCTTTCACTGCTTCTCCCTCTGTACATTCCTTCATTTGCTGAAGAACTTTAAAGTAAATTCTGTAAATGCTTCAGAATGCTGCTCTTCTTACTTAAGTATAATGCTTTTCTCAGATGTAACAAAATTAGCAGTAATTTCTTAAAATAATATCTGAACCAAACCCATTGCCCTCTAGCTAATACCAACTCATAGCAACCTTGTGGGAGAGAATGTGACTGTCTCGTAGGGTTTCTAAGGTGGTGTGTTTACGGAAGATGCTGCCATGTCTTTCTTCCACAGTGCCGCTGGGTTCAAACTGCTTACCTTTCGTTAAGCAGCTCAGTGCTTAACCACTGTGCCTAGTCTGCATTAAACTTCCCTGGATTATTTCCAAAATGCCCTTAGAGCTGGACTCTTTGAATCAGAACCTATAGCATTTGGTAGTTAGGACTCTTAAATTCCTTT